TTGCCATGTTGACACAATGAAAACTATGTTGCAAACAATGAAAGACATGCCCCCCAGTCCTTTGATCTCGGATATCTCCTCGGCCAGCGAAACACATCGCGAAGTGGTAGTCGGAATTCAAATTGGAGTTGACAATCAACTTCCTGCATTCTTCCTCTTCCTTCCACAGCATCCCCTTCTTGTTGACATGCCCTGGCGTCAGAACGAGCCCGATGTTCTGGCTGTCGGTCATGTTGACTATGATTGCAAGGAGGCTGGCCTGCTGGCGTTGGCCCTCTGCTTGCAGCAAGCTTGGTGCTGCCCAGTTGGCCACTGCCAGTACTCGGACATCGGAAACTGCAAGATTGTGATTCTTGGCGACGCTGCTAAGGCATTCTTGCAATTTGCGAGCATTCAGATGGGCCTTCGTGCTCAAGGTCACCACTTGAGCCCTCCAGGACTCTGAGTCAAGTGACAGAAGTGATTTTGAGGCCTCCTTGGCTCGATGCTGCCTTGCTACGCGATGCTGCAACTGGGCATGGAACATTGCCGCATCTCTGTCGTCACACTTGGTCTGCCACACAGAGTAGAGGCGCAAGTCATGCCTTAATATTGTGCTTCTTTTGAATTATGTTGGGGGAGCCATGACAAACAAGCACTGAAACCAAACACAAGCCAAGGGACTCGATGCTCTTCATGACGAGGTCCATCTCCTCCTTCTCCAGATTTGCTGCCTGAATCTTGTGTGAATCGACCTGGGTGCCCAAGGCTGCATGTGCATCTGCTCGGTGAGCCTTGAGCAGCTTCTGAACACAAGACATCTCTGCAAGATCGAACTTGGTGGACTTCTCCGACACGGCTGTTGCCACTTCCAACACCAAGTGGTGGTCATGCTTGATGAAATCCTCGCGAAATGTCACCTGGGAGGAGGGAATGCCCATCTCTGTCACGGCCTGCTCCATCCACAGCACCATCTGTGCATGCAGCACACCTTCTTCAAGCTCGTCCTTACCCACCTTCCTGCGGGCAACAGGCAACCTTTCCTCTTGCTGTGTGCAGATGGCATCAACCATCAAGGACACGCCGTCACCAGTCACAGTCAATCTCTGGTTCCACTGTTTGTTCGCAAGCCGAGGGGCTGTGCCTGGTTGCAGCTTTTTGCTTGCCCAACATTCATCTGAGAATGTTGTCTGTGGGCCCAACTTGGAAATGTGCTCCAGCAACCTAGTTCCAACTGTTCGCGGAAGCTCGAGCAGGTTCAACAGAGCCATTCGCTTGCCACCAAGGACTTGGCTGTCCTTGGTTGCCAT